GATGTTTATGGGCTTTACTTTACACTTTTATATCATTTTTGGGACTAACCTACTAACCGGAGGCCCAACCCGAATTGCTTTTTTTTTTGCCTATTTCAGTGTTTCAAAGAAAAGGAATATCAAACGGAGTCCAAACGGGATGAAACCTTTGGGAACGATCTTTTTGGAACAAATGCCAACCTGGAGACTTGGAGTGGACGTCAAGCAACAAGCGAGGCGGCCACGAGGGTGCCCGGCGTGCCCCCCACCCTCGTGGGCCCCTCGATCGTCAACCGATGTACTTCTTCCTCCTATATATACACCCGTACCCTGAAAACATCAGAAGCAACCACGAAAACCTAATTCAACCGCCGCAAACTTTTGTATCCGCAAGATCCCATCTTGGAGCCGTCGTCGGCGCTCCGCCGGAGGAGGAATCCACCACAGAGGGCCTCTACATCATCTCCAAGGCCTCTCCGATGAGTTGTGAGTAGTTTACCACAGACCTTTGGGTCCATAGTTATTAGCTAGATGGCTTCTTCTCCCTCTTTGAATCTCAATACAATGTTCTCCTCGATCTTCTTGGAGATCTATTCGATGTAACTCTTTTTGCGGTGTGTTTGGCGAGATCCGATGAATTGTGGGTTTATGATCAAGTTTATCTATGAGAAATATTTGAATCTCCTTTGAATTCTTTTATGTGTGATTAAGTTATCTTTGCAAGTCTCTTTGAATTATCAGTTTGGTTTGGCCTACTAGATTAATCTTTCTTGCAATGGGAGAAGTGCTTAGATTTGGGTTCAATCTTATGGTGTCCTTTCCCAGTGACAGCAGGGGCAGCAAGGCACGTATTGTATTGTTGCCATCGAGGATAAAAAGATGGGGTTTATATCATAGTGCATGAGTTTATCCCTCTACATCATGTCATCTTTCTTAATGCGTTACTCTGTTCTTCATGAACTTAATACTCTAGATGCATGCTGGATAGCGGTCGATGTGTGGAGTAATAGTAGTAGATGCAGAATCGTTTCGATCTACTTGTCACGGACGTGATGCCTATATACATGATCATGCCTAGATAATCTCATAACTATGCACTTTTCTATCAATTGCTCGATAGTAATTTGTTCACCCACCGTAATACTTATGCTATCTTGAGAGAAGCCACTAGTGAAACCTATGGCCCCCGGGTCTATCTTTTATTATATAAGTTTTCAATCTACTTTTATTTGCATCTTTTACTTTCCAATCTATATCATAAAAATACCAAAAATATTTATCTTATCATACTATATCTATCAGATCTCACTTTCGCAAGTGGCCGTGAAGGGATTGACAACCCCTTTATCGCGTTGGTTGCGATGTTCTTGTTTGTTTGTGTAGGCGTGTGGGACTTTTTAGGAGCCTCCTACTGGATTGATACCTTGTTTCTCAAAAACTAAGGGAAATACTTACACTACTGTGCTGCATCACCCTTTCCTCTTCAAGGAAAACCAACGCAAGCTCAAGACGTAACAAGGGAGTACATTTTAGTGGAGTAAGTATTTGTTTCATTGCATTCCAAATCAAACAAACCCATTGTACTACTACTAGTGCTATTCTGTGCCAAAAGGAAGAGACGATAAAGTACGCGTTAGGTAGGCTGCATATACCTCGGCCAAGCCTGCACGGGAAGAAAAAAGCCCATTTGGTTACCTGCATTCACTATTGAGCCTGCATAGCATGAAGATTAAAGCACTTCTTGGCCTGCATTCGTGGGAACACTCAAATCAGCCGTTTTTCCTCAGTCAGGCCCGAGCGATGCAACCCTAGGCACGTGGGCGTGGGCAGTTGCACGCGTGGGTGCGGTCCCGAGACGTCGCGTTGTTTCCAGACGTGTCGTCATAAATTACCCTCACCTCCCCCTCCTCATCGCTCTCTTCTCTCTTCCCCACTCACACTGGCGGCGACGACCACCTGAGCTCTACTGTGAATCGATCCAAGACGACGGCAACAACCATTGGAGCGACTGCAGACCTCCACTGGAGCGCATCGACCATGGCAGTAAGACCTCGTCCTCTCTGTTACATTCACTACTCTCTACACGGGCTAGATTCGATTATAGCACTCCATTGAAGAGTTAGGGGGGATTGAACACATCGGGGGGTGGAGGATTAACATCAATCGATTCTGCATCTACGGCTCATAGGTTATTTTTTGATTACATCGGCGGCGGGGATTGGATTGTCTAGCCCCGGCGACCCTAGAGTCATGTCG